TGGTTTGCCAATGAAGGTAATTGAATCGTTTTACATGACTGACCGCGTGATCTTAAATTTTAATTTAAAAATTATGCTGCCAATCATGTAGTACGATTCAGCTACTCTGATTACCAGACCACCATTAAGCTTAGATAATTTTTAAAACCGAATTATTCTTTAAATCCTTCAGTAGCCAAGGCATCGCTCCTTGGTGCAGAGGAGAAACCTGTGAAGAAGCATCTGTGCTCCACCTTGCCACAGAAAACTGTGCGGGTCAGGCCTCACGGAGCTGCGATCTGAAACGCTTAGACGTAATGATGGACAAAAAGATATTCTGTCCGTTGACAGAATGGCGCCTGGCAAAGATGGACAGTAGCCAAAACCGTTTGCCAAGATCAAATGAGATCGAATGGAAACATGGTTCCCACCCTACGTGCAGCTCTAGTTGCACTACGGCGAAAATCATCGCGCGACTGACCGATGACTGATGGAGCTCGGCAATGAACCTACTGGAAGACATAGGTTCAGATGGGCTTAAAGAAAAATATTGAACCTTGTAGAGGCAAAGCTCATAAGACAGACGAATGTGGGCATTCAGACTTGGCAGTGATGATCCACGAATAAGGATCAGAGGAGTTCAGTCTGTTAAATCAATCTTTAAACCATTGAATTGAACAACTCAGTCAAATTTTCATTATTTTAACGTTTAAACTAAATTACTGCTGTTGTGTCATGTGAGCTACACGTAAAAGAGCTTCTATAGCTGAGTACTTCGTATTTGTGGTGATTGTCAGTAACAGGGAAGTACCTTTAAATTAATTCGCGACCTTTTTAAGTGGTTTAATTATTAAAAACAAGTTAATGAGTAACGGCAAGGAAAAAACAAGCAAACATGTGCGCACAGGAAGAACAGAACAGAGAACAGCAGCTTTCGAAATTTTTGACTTTTTAGAAATGTTCTCATTATCATCTTCAACATCGCATTACGGGTGCAAATAATGTACTGAGCCAACGGTGGCATGGTAGTCATCACCGAGAGCAGATCAAGCCGATGACGTCGCTCGGCTGAGGAAGAACTAGTGGAAGTCAAGAATTAAGACCTGAACCACAAACGTCCCCTTGGTTGTCTTTAAGCGCATTCGAATAATCCGATGGACATATCACGCATCCAACAGTTTAGTCACGAGGAGGAGTAGGAAAACAGAAAAGATTGAAGAGGCATCGGTTTGTGTCGCAACTAAGGCAAATTGGATGACAAATTTCTCTCGATGTCATCTGTCCACCGTCATCTGAGTATTCCGGCCACCCTCTGGTTCTGAGTAGTCATCGTTCGCTCAGTAAGTTCAAGTGACATGAAAAGACTTTCCCATGGATGCGTTTAGAATTGACATGGAATCCTAATGCCACTTTGCAAATGGAAAATTTTAACGTTAAATATGCTGCACCCCAATTACTTCATTAACTCCAGTATGTTCGCTTGTAAACATATTTCCAAGATAAGTTATATTTTCTGAGTTAATCGAAGGAGGTAGAGAATAAGTTGGCATAATAATGGTATGTTTAGAGCCTGCACGATTCACAGTTTTCCGAGTTTTAGAGACGGAACGTCAGTTAGAACCCCCGGATTCCATCTTTGGTGATTCACTTGCGCCTAGCATGCATGTAAAACGGCTGTACAGGCAACAGCATATTCGTCATTGTTGAGCATGTCCCTGATATCCAGTTGTAATACGTTCCATTTAATTATGTAGTTTCCAAATGCAGAAATTTGTTTTTTGTTGCTTTAACGCTCAAGAAAACCGGAAAACTGGAAATCGCATAGCAGATTGTGAGATGAGCACAGTGAAGCACTGGAAAAGGTGGCCGACGAGATTCGTCAAAGGCCAGCAGTTGCCTCGGGCTGTTCGTTGGTTTGCGGTCGCACACGTGTCACAGCGAAAGCAGAAGTGTGACCTGATTTGCCTTGTGTTTCCTTCTTACCTCATTGGCTTTGCAACGGCTGAGCTGTTGTTAGCGAACGTGATCAGCAGTTTGATCTGCGTGCCGCCTTCCATGTTTTCCACCGATGCGATTGGCGCCATGGCCAGCTCTTTCAGGATGCTCTCCACGAGCTGGTCATCCGTGTAAAGTTCACAGCTACTCATTTCTAAATAGTACCGCTCCCACGTGCTGAAGTTCCGCACCGGTAATCTGAAAGCAGAACAGGTTACCATAGCAAGAAAAGCACGCTGTGTAAATGCATCTAAACATTTTTCCACAGATTTTCAGAAATGCAACACTTAAGGAAAATTCGATAACTTAATCTGTTTAATTTATGAAATTACTTTAATCAGTCCTTTCCCTGGAAGGAAAAGTATTTTCTTTCCTTTTGCTTTGTAAAACCGGTGAAAGTTTGGTGTTCAGTTTGGCAGTAAAGATAAACACAACTACAAAACTTTAAAAAAAATAATGATACCAGAATAATAGTACGAAACTTTGTACTCATGATTATGTGAACTCGATGTAAAGTTTTATGTAATAGGAGGTAAATAGCCGTATGATGAATACTTTGGCGTCTGCGAAACGTCGGCATAAATAGATTTATTCGCCTCGACTTTGTGCCTTTAACCTTTGGATCGAAACACCTTATGTTCTACTAATTTTACTTATAAATCCTGCTTCAAAAACTGCCACTGACTGACCTGTGGACTTAAGAAGATAAAATGCAAGATTTTGTCAAAATAATTTCTATTTACGGTTGATATGACGTTTAATGAAACTGACTCTCATATTAACAGTTCTGACAGCAACTTGATTGATCCCGAGCTAAATGGGTGTTTGACTGCGCCACTGTCGGTCCCAAACACAGACTGTGGTGAAGCCTTCCATAAAACTTAGCCACCTGCGTCATCTTCCTGGAGTTGCTCCCATCGAGCATTGTATCCAGTCGATCGTCTCCCAGGTTACGAAAAGCCGCTCGGATTGTTAGGGAACAGCGGCATGCTGAGAGAAGGTGGCGACAGGTCATTTGACAGCTGGGGGCGTAACAGTCTGTTCGGCACAGCTGCTGAAGATCTACGCTATGATGACAAATAAACCAGTCAGTTTAAATGGAATGATCATATCACCATTCCTCTGATAGCAATTTTCTGTGGTATCCCCTCCGCGTCTGTTCGATGAGAAAGCGGTACCTTGCAAGAGTACAGTAAACCTTCGGGAATGAACCCTCCCTGCTCAACAAGGATATTACGTAGCCTCTCGCATCTCCATAACATCTCAATGGCATTAAACTTCATTGTCGAACCGCCACACTTGTCACTCCCACGAGAGAGAGAAAAACCACATTTCACCGCATAAGCACTATCCGTGCTCAGTCGATGGATGGTCCAACTCAAAGTCGAAAGATCATGGGCTCTAACCGTGGTCGATTCACTTTTCATCCTTCTAGGTGAGAAAAGCTATTACCACCTCGTGGGAAAGAAACAATTCACTCAGCGCTATAGTTCTCACAGGGGGTCATCAGCTGATCACACAGAAGCGGAAAATAGCGCCACATGGAAATTTTCGTGAAGGAAGTGTCCGTAACATAGTGTGAACGGCAACTGACAGACCAGTGGCAAAAACGAGTATCTGATACACACGGCTGGAAGTTAAATAGGTCTTCGCTTCATAACTCGAATGAGATCACACTGCTAATAAGTACATGACATACACAGTCTCTGGTTGATTAACGGACTCCATAGATCATGATAATCATCGAAAGCCATCGCGAGTGCTTCGTTTGTAGCAGCCTGAAGCACTGTTCAGTCATACAGTTGCTGGAAGGTTTGTCGATATGACGATAGCAACTCATCGCAGCTATGATAAGACTTATTTGACACGCAACACATCTTTCTTTGATAATGTGTTAACAATAGTGTTAACAATATGGACTATTGTATATCAGATTTTTGACCTCAGGAGTCATTATCGATCTCTGTTTAATGCTGAATTGGTCTCTATCGGTGTCTAGATTAATCAGCCAATCTGTTTATTCTTTAGTGTAATTGTTCAGCGTTTGATGCTGCCGTGGCCGACTGTGTTGTTCAGTAAACAGCAGTATGCGTTTAGGTGCCATTTACCCATTTTACTATGTCTGTAGTGAGGCGTTTCTGGTTTTATACAACGAGCTGCAAAAAATTTAAAAGATTCTACTTTTAGGAAGAGGTGATAAAGTTGCTATAAGGCTTTTCGCGGACAGACTTTTTGCTGATTTTCGTCATGATTTGATGAACATCATTTCTACGTCTTCAGGTACGTTCATGTTTCCTTGAAACGTTCTAGATTTTTCATGAATTTTCCACTGATCGAAGGTTGAAGGCAGCAAATGAGAAAACTTCAAATTGTAAACACTTGCAGGTACTTCGTTCACCATGTTATTTACCCATTTGGTTCGCTTAAACAAGTTTGTGTTGTTCTTTTATCATAAAAGAGTTGTTGCTGCTTAAATAACAGGGCAACCCTGATTTATATCTGACCGATACATATTTTTTTAAACAAGTTAGCGCATGGTAATTTAGACCGTGGCATGTGGCAAGGTGCGTAAAAGATCGGTTTCGGCCTCCGTGGTGCTGAGTTCGATCCCGATGGCCATGTGAATTCCCTTGAGCAAGGAATTTAGCACACTTTGCCTCCAGACTTGTGTTGTTCAGTATGGTAGAGCGTCGGACTCAGAACCGAGAGGTCTCGAGTAAGTTGTAGGGAACACCCACACTTCAACGGTTACAAACACTCCATTTTTTAGTGAAAGGCTAAATGCTGACTGCAAAATCATCAGTAATATGTATTAGCCTTGTATCATCTTACAAGGGCAGTTCGCATCCTGGTAGAATTTTCCTCATCCGAAGCGGAAAAAAAATTTGAGGTATATAAACTCAACGAAATTAGAAGAATAGGGCATTTCACTGACGGTTCTTAGCTACCGCCTTCATATCATTCCCAAACAAATGCCATCAAAATTAATTGTGATTGTCTGACAGATGCGGCGGCACGGAACTGAGAAAGTCAACGAAAAAAAGTTGTCAGCGGAGGCAAAATGGCATCGGTAAACGACGCATGTAGACAGCTGCCCTGGCAGCTGTCGGTCGTAAAATCTTAAGCCAACAATTCTTAGATGCCAAAGATGCAGTCGCTTCTTATTAGTCGACAGAATCAAGCAGTATTTCTGTGAATTATCAGTCTTCTGAAGACAACCTGTGATCGTTCACATGACAGATTCTCGCAGAGTTTAATGTTTAATCTTTCGTCAGATCTCTCTCTCTGCTTCTTTAAGGTATTCTTAGGCCTCTTCTTCGTACCATCATTCAAAATTGTCTTCTCTTTAACGGCGCAGAACCTATTAAAAGTGCTTTCAAAGGAAATCAGAGTTTAATACTATTAATTTGCTGTGAATATCGCTTTCAACCGTTAGCACCTGAAGAGGGTAACTTATTTTTATGTCGTATGGTTGGGAAGAGGAGATTAAGTGTTTTCTAGTTCACTGTACAAATTTCTAAATCAATAAATAGCAGCCGCCGCAGTTGCATTTTGGACATCTGTAATTCTGCCGTACAACTTTCGCAGCAGGAATTCTGAAATTATATGACACACAGTCTGATCTTCATGACCGTAGTCAAACTGTAGGCTGTCTTTCATTTTCATTCCAAAAATGTGGATGAGGAATGTGTCCTCAGTGCCGTTGTCCATTTAACCTCGATCTTTCTCAGTGAGTCCAGTCAATACCACAAAATTTTGTGTGTCGGGTGGAGCTAAGATCTTTGTTATTTGCGGTTGTAGCATCCCACTCTGCTCTCTCGCAAGAGTGTCTCTGATGTCAGCCACTCAATCAGTCAGTCGCAATGACCGTTTGTGTTTTTTAATCGCGGAGACAGCCGCGTAAGGCAGTGCGTAACGTATCCGATCCTGTGCCAGCGTTTGATCTTTGGCAGAATTTAACCCGAGTTTGGAGCAGAGCCCTTTGATAAACATGCTCATGTCGATCTTGGCCGCACCCCTGGGTCTATGGTCGGTTGGTTGGGCATGTAGTGCCAGCTTCGCTTTCCATTTTGAAAACGCGAGTCCCAACGCAGCTGACACTTTTCACATTTATAGAGATAGCGCTGGTACACCAACGCTCTCTCAGACATCTGCTGTCAGAACCATTAAAAAATGTGACAGCTCAGCGATTCGTACATAAAAGTCTTTTTTAACCACATGTATTCGGGACAAAAGTTTTCAGTGCTGGGTCACGACTTACGGCCGTAAGCGAGCATCGTCATGACGATCGACATTAACGGAGCTCCGCTTTAGTCACAGACGTTCGGGCTAGTTCGGCGATAGGTCGATTTCTTCTACCCGTTTCCATCATCATTAAGCAGGACCCCGTCGTACTTGAACTTTTCCATCTGTTCCACTCCGTCTTAGTCTGTTTACAGTGGCAAGGGACAGGAGAAAGAAAAAGCACTAGGCCTTTCGTTTTAGATAAGTTCACACGCATACCGGCCACGTCATACTCAACTGCGAACTTTTCCATCGAGCGAAGGAGGTCACTTTCAGAACATTAAAAAAAACAAAACGGTTTGCAAGCAACAGTCTTCTTGTGCTCACATCTTATACGCTGATACAACCGTCCTCCTATTTTCGCCTGACTACTCTAGCCCTGTACACCACAAACAAGAGAAAGGACAGAACGCATTCTTAACTAACCGGAGACCGCTGCCAGTGCTGGATGGTCTGGACTTAACGCTGTTCATTCTGACTTAGCATCTCATCAATATATAGTGACTGGATAGCTGGCAACAGCTGCCCATTGGTCCCATATGTTTGCAGGCATTCCCATTGCTTGTTGCGCTGGATCTGATCGTAGGCTTTTTCCAGATCCATAAAGTACATCGAAACCGAATATAAGAACCCCACGATTTCTCAGCAGTCCGGCGTAAATGGAACATCTTGTCAGTGGTGGCTCTGGCTTACCTGAAGCCATACCATTATTCGCGTATCTTAATCAGTTGTTCTGCGGCATCTCCATTCTAACACCACCTAGACGTTTTTTGGGAGGTTCATGAAGCTATTACCTCGATAATTCGAACAGTTTCTCTTGTGTCCTCCCCGTAGCCATTGCAGTTTGACAGACACGTATTAACCACAACATGTATTGTTCGCCTAAGCTTTAAGCTTCTCAAGGCGGATTTCATGATTTTCAGTAACCTTTGTCACT